CGTTGGAAATATTTGCGAATATTTGCGAGAATTTAAAAAGCATTTCAGTGACGATTAATCTACGAATATCTTCGAATATCTTCAAATTCTATACTAAATTGCCTCTCGACTTATCAAAAATCCAATAGAACTGTCGATCGCTGTTCGAACGATTCAACTAAAGCAACTTGGAATAAATCGCGTAATAACTGATTCTCGCACGATCGGAGAACAAGTCGCGAACCATTACGAAATTGAAATCGTACAATTGCTTCCACGAAACGCGAAGTCACGAGGGTATAACGTTAACATAAATCACACGTGAAAAACTGATTACGTATTCCGATCAGCAATTAGTATCAAGACATCGCGTCGCGTGCGGATTAAAAGATTCATCGTGCGTAAAAGGGTTTATCTGTCTGTCGAGGAAACGCTCGCGCAGTGACTAAAAGAAGGGAAGAGCCCGTTTCTTTAGCAGGCGCGCACTGTCGCGTCGTATCGTAAATATTCCCGTCTGGCGTAAACATTAAACAAGTATCGTTTATAAGCGGCGTGGCCGGCCGAGGCAAAGAAAGAAGGAAAGAAGGAAAGAAAGTTCCACTTTTACCGCGAGCTCCTTTTACTCCGGCTCCGCGAGCCTTCGAGTCGTTCCTAAGTTTCCTCAGCGTGCCGTGATTCAATTTGATTTTCGCGCTCTTTTTCTGACGACCCGACCGTTTATTCTCTCGATACGTACAAAGGAATTAGTTTAATCGTAAAAGAGAAACGCGCCCAGAGTGAAAGATGCAAAAATTAAATAAATTATCGTATATCGCGCTGGAAATAAAATGCGTTGGACCGTTTCGAGTATAGAGAATTTTGGAAATGTCAATCTGAGAGAAGATTACGAGATCGTATTGCGAATAAAAAGTGTATTCTAAATACTGGAAACGACGATGAAGGATATGTTAAAGAAAAAATATTGGAAAATTGCGCTATTTAAAAGTAGAAAAATGTGGGAGATATCAAACACAACGTGTATAGAAAATTATTTAGATAATACCGATACGAAAAGGAGGATCTTTCCGTAATGCTGTAACGATGCTATAGAAAGTGTGTCGTGTTCTTTAAAGAATCGCCGAAATAATAGAAAAAAGCGGGAAAAAAAAGAGATAAAACTGTACAAGGACTTGTAAGAGGGGGCGATTTAATTGATTTACGTAATAGAATTGGTCCGCCGTCGAAAGCAATGGAGCCTCGCGTCGTTGAAAGTGGAAAGTAATTTCCTTACGTACTTTTTACCTTACGTATTTTTTCCTATTTCGTCTTATTTCTGTTCCACTTGCTCACCACTGTGAATGATATACGCTCTTCAAATAAATTATCATGAAAGCCATTCTTTCGCACGCGTGAAACTAATTTTTTTAAGACAAACGTCAAGTTACAAGCGTTAAAGAAACAAATAATTACCATTAACAAAATTATTGACACATACTCGAGACTATCCCGATAATATAATTCCTTTACGAGAGAAAATATTGATATTTCAATTACGCGACTATGTTCCGAATTTCTGAAGCACCTTGTATACGTTGTTTTCAACGTTCGCCTAAGGCGTAAACGATCACTCTAAAAAGTAGAATAATTAAAGGTAAAGAATGGTTGACTGAAGGCAAAGTATGTTTCGTTGTATTCGACGACCTCAAATCGGCGTCAAAATAAACGATATAATCTGCAAATAACTTCGCTTTCATGAGGATTACGTAATGGTCATCCTTATGCCCTACTTGCGATACGTTGCAACAGACCCCAGAGTTTATGTAATAAATGGCGAAAAAACATCGACCGTATTAAATATTCTACGTTCACGACCGTCTAACCGCATTCTTATTTCAAACGAATTGGCGGGAATTTTAAATTGTCAAATATTCGGTATTGTCAAATCGATAAGTAAAATTTTCAGAAATGTAGGAAAACGTTTTCATTTTTCTCTATGCTTTGCAATTGCCTAATGGCATCGAAAGACACGAAAAAACATTGTACATCCGGTTTTAATGTTTCGTTTCCGTGTTCGTTCCAACGAAAAGCACCAGCCGTTATATTAAGCCGTTCCAGAGGACGTTATCGCTGACGATTACACCAGCTTATCTACCCTTTTCACAGAGCAGCACATCCTACTATGTAAACTTAGCCTAACGAATAACCTCCATAGAGATCATAAAATTATTCGTGCCCGCGGGTCACGTGCGTTTCAATCTTTTATGAAATAGATCATTCTACCGTAATTATCTATTATGCACGTTCCTAGCTACGGAATAATCTAGATATTAGAAATTATATGAAAAATATCGTACTTAAGAACGTAATCTTGCCAACAATTAGAATATCGAATCGTGCTTAGTCTAAAACAAAATATTTTTTTATTGTTATCGGATATTTACAATCTGTTTCTCGTTAATAGAGCGAGTAGAACTAGTAAATAAAATAAAATATTAAATACATTAATTAATGAATCTAATCCTACAGAATGGCTATTTTTACGTATGAAAACACGTATCCAAAGTTGGGAAGTAAAAAAAAAGAAAATTGTGCTAAAAATTGTATTCGAGCCAGATGACCCTGTCGCTCGTCTACCGCTACTCAACTACAACGGGTTAAAAGCGGATAAATCGACAAGACGGAAGGCATTACCGTAGTCGGTGAAACGTGGGCGTGTAGTAGACACGGGTTAACTGACAAATCGATAACTTCTTCAAACATCAGAACTAAACGGGTGAAGGACCTTTCTCTGACAATAGGCGAAACGTAAAAAGATCCTCGATTGTTGCATAGTTATATAGGATATAAGGACCGCAAGAGTGTTAGTACTTATAGAATTACCATTTTTATTAAAATAAAATTTGATACAATAATCGATCGAAACGAAGCAATAATAAAACTGTTCTAAGTCGTCACGGCATAGAATGCAGAAATTTTGTCGATAGAATTCTTTAACATTTTATTGTAATAAAAAATTCCATTTTTTATAACATGTACGAAGACTTTCGTAGACAGCTGTACATTGTTCGTCTTATCTCAATATCACGAATATGCAATTCGATTTATTATAGATATTTGCAATTGAATATAAAATAATCAGATAATTCGGAAGTTGATGAATTAGGCTTAGAATGTAATAATGGTCGTGATACTACAACGTTTGGTATGTCGCGTATATAGTCAAGAATAAAAGAGAAAAAGACATTCGGTATACTTTACTCAAAAAGTGAAAATCTGCGAAATCATGGTTTTGCCATAAAACAGATTCGCTACGTTATTACATTGGCGATAAAAAAGATCAGACTCCTGGTCGACAGCATAACCGCGATATTATTTCTGACAGAGCGTATTGTAATCCGGGGAACACGCACGAAATGGAAAAAAAAGGTCTAGATCCCAGCCAACTACGTATGCTTAAGAGCGGGAATGACATCTGCTCGTACAGCTTCCGAGAGGACTGCGCAACGCTCGTAAACGATTTTCAAATAAAATACTCGGGGAATCAAGCAATTAGTTAGATGTTTGCTATTTCTGTTTCGTCGCCAAACTTCCATTTCAAATTTCTAGCTTTGTCCACCTCGCTAATTTTTCTTTTTTGCAATCTTTTCAAAATAACCAATTTGCAATTTTTCATAGAAAACTTATTTGAGTATAATGATTTTTTGTCTACTGTATATGTATAGAAGCTGAATTTTCAAATACCTGCCATTTTGTTTCTTTTGATAGAAATTCTGTACGCGTTAGTCGTCGATTTTAATATCAGGTCTAATGTTAAGATTAGAGATTACTTTTTTACGATTGTAATATTAATTATTCGCAAAAGGTTTTCATATAGATACTCAAGAATATTTATTCTTTTCTGATAGTCGTTCGTTTCGAAAAAAAAGTTTATGCGTGTTTAGATCGTTATCACGGACATCGCTCAATCCTACTTAAATCAAAATAATTCCTTTGACCGTTGTTTATATATTCCATATATCTTATTGCTTATTCTATTCGCGAACAAATAAAGTCTATCCTTAAAGGGTGCGACGACGCCACTGATTTTACGAATCGATCGTTCCATTCAACCAAGTGGTGAATTCCTCCAACAAGATCCGATAGCCAGTTAAAATGCAAACAAAAGAGAAGAGTACGAGAACCGGACGGATTCGTATCAAATATATTCCGAGTGCATCCCCTTGAACAGCGCGGTAACGAAATCGATAACCTATACAAGAAGGGCACTGCCTCTTTCCTTACCTCGACCACGGAAATGTTTGATCCTCGTCCAAAGATGAGAGGAGGTGCCGTTGTCCCTGTTGACGTTTCTTCGATCTCGATACGTAGCACATTTATTTCGATTTATTTACGAATTGACGAGGCCGGTTAACGTCGAGCCGTGCCGGTTTGATCTCTCGTTTCGCGAATTGCACTGTCGACGAACGTTCAACTCTAAACAAACCGAACAATTGTACAACAGAATCGTAATAAGAGAAAATGCAGCGTGTGTACGTTTCTTTTGTTTCTTTCGTTCGTTGAAAATTATTGTATGTGCGATTCGCGAAGTAACTTAGCGAAACGATTTACAGCTTCTGCTGGTTCATACTGGCCTACTAGTTCTACTATACGCGACCAACGCACCACTTTGAGAGCACCTCCGCGGATCGACTGCCAGCTATATTCATACGAGCCACCGTCACTTTACCCGTGGAACAGGAAAGCGATCGACACTCCAGCAACAGCCAGCGACAACTAGCGACGATCAGCAACGACCCCTTCGCGCACCCTTCATCGACTGGTAACCTCACGGTTAGGACACGGCGGAACGGTGGAACGAGCGGCGAATAGGTGGTTGAAACTTTAAAATATTCGCGCGCCTTATCGCGGAACGGCGGAACGGCGGAACAGATGGAAATGCAAAACACGAATTAACATACGCGTTTGAAATCGATTATAATAGGAAACTAATTATACTATTTAACCGCGCTAGTAGACTTATGTATACACGAGAATTAAAAATATTCAAGAGATTATTCCATGTTCAATTTGTACACCTATTTATAAATATAAATACTTTTATTTTGCGAAAGTTTATTTCATGTACAGTCTTTCATGGCTGGAGTTAGCGTCATTAAAGCGTTCTCCATATTTTTCCGTTCTGTTTCGGTTTTAAGAGTATTCCATACTTTTTCCAGCTTTTGTTGTTGATATCTCTAAAAAACAAGTTTCAATTCGTCTACTCAATTTTGGAGCACGTATTTTGTAATTCTGATTCTGTATGATTTAACAATTTTACTTACTTTGATAAAGAGGAAACAATGTTTCAATGTTGCACCCACGTAAAGTATTTTTACTGATACTAAACGTCCTGCTATGTCATTTATGATTGGGATAGCCTTCAGTAAAAATTTGTGCGGGCCATGTCTAGTTTTCACTAATGCAATTTTTGTATGTATATTGCAATACTTTGCTAGAAAGAAAATTTTATAAAATCGTTTATCGTACATCTATTCCAAATTCGATCTGCTTTCAACTTCTATCAGTTTAAGTACAAAGATTTTATATTACCACTAAAACCAGCTTTTATCGCTGCAACTCCAAAATCACCGTACAACTGTTGTACTTTTTGTTGAATAGCATTATGCAAAATCGTAGTTTTTAATTGTAGAGGCTTGTTAGATTTATCACCAACAGTTATTTCAAATATTATGTGTCTACGAATATATGTAGAATTAATTACACAAATTGCACATTCGTGAAAACATAGATTGTAATAAAGTATGTAATAAAAATATATAATGAATAAATAGACATAATAATAGTTTATAATAAAAAAAACATAGAAATTCTATTGCTGAATTATCAAAATAAATAAACAAATGTAGAATATTTTATTACCTGTTTTTAAAGCGAACCATGGTTTTAGGTTATATGCAATACGCTAAAGTATCAATTGCTCCAGAAAACAACACTTAGCAAGAGATTCCGTAGTAGGAATATGAACAATTAGTAAATTTACGCCATTTAACAACAAAATACTGATAAATTGCACGTCTTCACAAAATTATAACATCCGAAATATTACCACGTGCGCTGCAGTTGATTACTCAATAGTAAGGTAATGCTAGGTCACTGTCAAACACAGTTGCACACGTGCGTTCAATGTGTGCCATATTTCTAATCATTTTTTCTAATAATGTAATCTTTCATTCCTTATTTCGAATTCATTGTTGTCTTTTCAATGAATAACATTTTCTCCTCTAATTAATTATCGGAGACTTTAATGGAACTCTGCATGAAATGTTTGAAAAAAATAGACTATGGTACGAGATAGTGCAATTAAACAAGATAATACACGTAGAATTTTTTATGCACACACGTTTCCTTATACGAGTTTATGCGTACTATGTCATCGTATTTACGTAATATTATTGTACTCCGTTTACAACATTATTTTTTTAGATCTAACTTTTTGATACAGTATATACATTTTGCCTTATATTTTTGCAATTTAATTCTATATTGCTTATTTAATGAAAAATAACTTCTTTGATAAATCGCCTTTCGTTCTTCGTATTTAATCTAGAATAAACTAGAAGAGAGAAGCATATAATAATAAGTTATTACTTATATTGCTACTGCTTCACTATTTCTTATTATTGCAGGAGTTATCTCAGGGTCATGTAAGATCAAAAAATAAGCCTGTGATTACGCTAAAGCTTCACTGATAATGGTTATGTACTCTTATTTGCAACTTATAATGATTCTAGCTGAAGTAAAGCATTCAGTTGGATTCTCTTAGTGAAAGGTACAAAATTTACGTGCTGGTTCCAAGGAATATAGACATGGATTATTATGTGGGTGTTGATGTAGGAACAGGAAGTGCTCGAGCTGCTCTAGTGTCTTCTACAGGAAAGATACTGAAAATGACAACATGCCCACTTGAAATTTTCCACCCTGCTCCTAATTTTTATGAACAGTCATCTGATAATATTTGGAGTGCAGTCTGCCATGTAGTAAAGGTACTAACTTCAGCAGAACTAATCTATATTGTTTATAATAAATTCAAATACCTATACATCATTTATTTATTATTTTTTGTAGTCAGTTGTAGCTGATATCTCTGCAGAATATGTACGGGGTATTGGCTTTGCTGCTACTTGTTCATTGGTAGCAATTGACAAAACAGGATCACCAGTCACAGTTAGTCCAACAGGTAAATTCGCAAATGAATTGCAATTCTCCTTTCAACTGCATGAAATGTTTGTTTGCTAATGGAATCTTTATTACAGGTGAAGATAAACAGAATGTTATATTATGGATGGACCATAGAGCACAGAAAGAAGCTGATTTTATAAATGAACAAAATCACGAGATGCTTCAGTATGTAGGTGGGAAAGTATCGTTAGAGATGCAAACACCCAAAATGTTATGGCTCAAAAATAATCTACCTTCATCTTGGAACCGCGCAGCACTGCTATTTGATCTGCCTGATTTCTTAACCTGGAAGGCTACAGGTTCTGAATCAAGGTACCAATATTATTGTATGCTAGTACAAACACACGAATATTCTATTTACAACTTTCTAATCCGATTTTAGATCTCTATGCTCTTTAGTATGCAAGTGGAACTACAGCGCTGGTCCTGATGGTAACAATAAATGGGTTGAAGAATTCTTTGAACAAATTCACTTAAAAGATCTTAAGAAAGATAATTGGAGGAAAATAGGTATCATTAATGGTTCTACATAATAATTGAAATTATCTCTATATAGGTAAACTCAAATCGATTATGTTGAACGAAAATTATTTCGTTTGAATCATATAGTTTTTTAGTTAACAAGTTAACAAATCTCTTTTATGTTCAGACAGATAATATGAAAGTATTACTTTATTTTAACAAAGAGAAATATTAATACGAAGGTAATGATGTGAGGACTCCGGGCCATCGGGTTGACCAAGGATTGTCGGCAAAAGCTGCTTCTGAATTGGGACTCCTAAAACGAACAGCTGTGGGAACATCTCTTATTGATGCACATGCTGGAGGGCTCGGTATGATAGGCTGTCATGTACCCGGTGTATCCCCTAAATTACAAAGTAGATTAGGTATGCCTAAATTTTCCCACTATATATTACTTTTATTCGTTGCTTGTACGTTCCAATTTTTTTAGTTAATCCCTTTGATTTGCAGCATTAATTTGTGGCACATCAACTTGCCATATGATAGTTAATGAGAAGAAACTTTTTGTTAGTGGCGTCTGGGGGCCATATTTCAGTGCCATGGTTCCAGGAATGTGGTTGAGTGAAGGAGGGCAAAGTGCAACTGGAAAATTGCTCGACCATATAATTGATACCCATCCCGCAACGCCAGGGATTTTGAAAAGCTTAGGTGGCAATAAGTAAGTTAAAATAAATTCGATATATTCGTAAACTCTGTTATTGTTTGTTATGTAATTTTTTAGACACATACAGGAATATTTGTCTGAATTATTGCAAACGATAGCTGATCAAAAGAATTTGGAAAATGTTTCATACTTAACAAAAGATATTCATATATGGCCTGACTTTCACGGAAATCGATCCCCTTTAGCTGATCCGGCTCTGAAAGGGATGGTAATGACATTAAATATCCTATTACCAATGCAATACCTGTATAATTTTCGAGATAAATGTTTTAAATGAATATCACACAGATTTCAGGACTCAATCTATCCGTTGATCATGAAAACTTGGCACTATTATACTTGGCAACGATACAAGCTTTAACGGTACGTATATATGTATGTTACTTCATCTGCCTATACTTTTTTTTTATGTAGAAAATTAAATATTCAATATTTTTTAACAGTATGGTACAAAGTATATTTTGGAAACGTTAGAAGCTGCCGGCCACAAAATAGAGACTTTATTAGTTTGCGGTGGTTTAAGCCAAAATCCACTATTTATCCAAATACAGGCGGATGTATTAGGTTTACCTGTACTGTGTCCTATAGAAAAGGAATCAGTACTGATAGGAGCTGCGATTCTTGGATCTTATGCAGCTGGGAGTTTCAATACAGTATATGATGCTACACAAACAATGGGAGGATCTGCAAACATTGTTAAACCTAAAAACGAATGCTACAAGTAAGCAAATCAGATTAAAGAGTTACTTCAATCTTTTAAAGTTATAATACATATCATTCTTCCTTCTTTTTAAGGTATCATCTTCAAAAATATCGAGTATTTCGGAGAATGGTACAAGATCAAAAAGATTACAGAGATATTATGAGCAAAGAATTTTTATAACTATACCATTACAAGCGCTGTATCTGTAATTATTAACTCTATATTAACAGACGTAAATAAATAAAAAAATATATTGAACAATTATAGAGCAATCTCATAGAATCTCGTAAATAATAAATAATGCGGAGCAGTGCGCTACTTCTTACACATTTTTTATCTAATTAAATATATTTTGTGTACACGATTATTGAAACATATTTTAGTTACCTACTTTACTTTTTATCTTTGTTTGTTATAAATAAAGATATACATAAAAATATTCGCAGAACTTTCTTTTGCCCTAAACATAGTATAGACATGATATATGAAATAATATTGCTTTATTTGGTACTTAAATGTAGTTTTGAATTTACACAGTGTATTACAATTTGGTACAAAACACCTACAACTATAACAATATTGCTAGATGATTAATCGTTATAAAAATATTGATTTTTTTTTAAGGCTTTTAACGAAAAAATTTTGTTTTCTAATATCGCCATGTAGGATGGTAAAATGGTACTATGAACCACGTAGGAATAAAGATCTTAATCATACATACAAGTACATAGTGCGTTAAATTCTATCAACTTATAAAATAATATTCTTATCTTCTCAACTTCTAATATATCATTTTCCTTCGCACGAAGTAACATCAGTATCACATTGTTCGTGAAAAACTTGTCAAAAATCTATTTTTTTTTTTTTTTAATGATATAATTTGAAAAACGAATAAAACTAACAATTCCATATCACAAAGTCGATTTTATCACAAATTGATACATAATTGCTAAACTCTGTGTCGCTGAATCAATGATATCTGCTAAAGTTATGAAAATCGATCATAATTCGAACAAAATATAAACGTACTCTTAACTTACATTAAGATAAAGATGATTATATTAATCAGAATAATACTGGTGTAAAACTTTGGATAAAACTCTAGTTTTTCATTAAGTGTTACAACTGTTATATAGCATAATATAAATCGACAATTGTTCGCGGATTTGTAACTCTATTTCTAACTTAAATATGGTACTAATTGCACCTGTATATGAAATATTTCATTTACAAGTTAATTACATTTTTTATGAAGTGGTTTGAGTGGGGGTAACATTACCAGTGTTTTAATCGTGTTAAAATTTACATATTGGTGTATACATATATTGATGATCAAATAAACAAAAAAATCACTCTCAATCAATCTTATCAAATTGTTTTGAGTATTTGAAACCACTATAATAATTGAAAATTTCAACGAATTGTTTTAATTTTGTTTTCATTTATTAGTAGTTTTGATATTATAGTAATATCAATATCACCATCAGTCTTTCAATAATTACTTCGTTGATCTAAATTCATAGAAAAGTTGAAGATACAGAGGGAAATGTATGTTTCAAGTGTGCATTAACAGATTCAAGATTATCTCTTATAATGTTTTAACTCTAACTAATCAACGATTATCATTTATATTCAAGCTTAAAAATTATTAATGTTTTGATATTTGGAAGACACAAAGTGCGTGTTTCGGTGAAACGTTAGGTCGTGAAATCCTCTTCTACGAAGGTATTTGTTATAATATATATGTATAGTCTTTTTTAATTCTAGCAAGGCCATTTGTGCAATTTGCGCATTTAGAAGGATGCAAGGCGTTGATTCGATTGATTACGATGTTCTAAGCCGTTTTGGAGTGTTATTTTACGAAATCATACCGTTAAAAAGGAAATTATTCACTAGCATATGACATTGTTTTTTATAGAAAAATACGCTAAAAGTTAACGGGAATACTGTAACGAGTCAGTTTACACAAAACGATAATATTCTGCAATATGATTAAGCATATATTGAAATGCGGTAGAAGGAGACGTACCAAATCTTTGCCTCCA